ATTTGTAATTTATTTTATTGTAATGATTGAGGCACTGGTAGGCTTCCAAATAGCTTTAAAGTGGTAAACATAACAATAAAACATTGTATTCAATTGATGGGGCAGGCTTGCTGATTTTGCCTGGCAAGCCAGGCTTGGAGAAAGATGCTTTGGATTGCATACCCACCAATTAGGTAAAAGCTTGCCCCACCCCTGCTTGGGGCAGAGGAGGGTGACGATGACAAAGAGCCCCTGGACCTGATTGAAGATCATGCTTTGCAGGCCTGGCAGACTTCAGGGTGGGGCCTTCTGTGTAAATAAAAGCTCAGTGTGCTCGGCACGTGGGGCAGACGTGGCGAGGAACTCAAGAAGAGCAGGGCCCAGAAGAGCTGGGGAGAGCAGCCCAGAGGGCAGAGCCAGAGCCCCTGAAGATGCTGCTTGGGGATCCAAGCAGTGGGAGGCTCCAACAGTGCATGGATCAGTGCACAGAGCCCAGACCCTGGAAGCAGCTCAAGGCTGCTCAGGTCCGTCCATGGCGCACAGGGATGGTGGACAGATCCAGGCCCTGGGAGCCGCTTGGGGAAGCTTGGGCCAGTGGTCCCAGTGTGAGGCCAGGCAGCCGAAGTTGCTATCATGGCTCAGAATTGCTAAAAGAGCCCCTGGAGCCCTGAGTGGAGACTGGGAGAGAAAGCCCCAGCATAAGGCTGGACAGCCAAAGCCTGGGTAGTGTGACTTGGCTTAGCCACAGAGCCCTTGGTGCCCGGAGCAGGACACAGGGCCATCAGGGAAGACCCAGTGGGAGGCCAGGTGGGCTCAGAGCCAGCGGTGACACTACTCCAGGCAGCAGGAGAGCCCTGGGTGCCCAGAGTGGGGCACCAGGCAATTGAGAGGAGCCAGAGGCACCACTGGAGAGAGGCCTTTGTGGGACTGGCCACCAGGGGATGAGCCTTGTCTGCTCCTGAGCGGAACCATGAGGTGCTCGGGAAGCAGGTCCCACAGGGCAGTGGGCCTTAGGAAGGGAGAGTATGCAGCCTCCACCTTCCTCTATTGTGGGTATGTGTGTTCACATCCTGGGCTCTAAAGACAAGGGGCTCCAGGGAATACCCTATGGGGTGCTGAGCACACCTCATATTTTGTGTTTGATGTTTGTTTTGTACTGTTGATGTTAATATAATTACTGGGGCTGTGAGAAGCTTGGGTGCCAATTCGATTCGGAGGAGATTTGGCTTGATTCGGCTTGATTCAACAGCCGAATCTCCAAATCTGAATTGAATCAGGAGACCAATAAAAAGATCCAAATTGATCTGAAGCTCTCTGAATCGATTCAGAAAAGATTTGGAGAGCTTTGGAGATTTGGGCAGCCCCTGCTCATCGTCACAGGGAGCTGGACCCAGACTCCATGCTGGTAAGTAGTGGGCTGGGGGGGGACTGAAGGAGGGGGAGAAGGGCCCAGGGGGGGACTCCTGCCAGGCCCCATCCCCTGCCTGATCCCCTAGTCCCCCTGAGTGTC